TCAAGCTAATTGGTTGCCGAATTTATTTTAGGACTTGGAGTAGTCGATAACATTGTCAAGCCGCTGGAAATTTATTGTGATAATTCTGCAACAGTGTTGTTCTTTAAAAACGACAAGTATTCCAAATGTGTTAAGCATATAAAATTGAAATACTTTGATGTTAAAGAAGAAGTTCAGAAACGAAGATTGTTAATAAAATATATTAGCACTGATCTTATGATTGTTGATAATTTAATAAAGGGATTACCACCCAAGTTGTTTATTCGCCATATAGTGAATATGAGAATTATGTTTACTAGTGAATGTTGAATATTAATGTTATTATTAATGTTTATGTGACACTATGATATCTTTAATGTATAAGTTTCTGAAATTTGTGTTTTCTTCTTTACTTATATGCATGTCAATTATGATGAATAAAATAAATTATGTTATTGTCATTGAAATGATATTATGTTTGAACCCATTATGAACTTCTTATTATAAAGTCATATTAAGGAGACAAAGATAATATAGTAGTACAGGGAGCATGTCGATTGAATGACATGTAACCCTCATGACTTTTGTTATAGTTGTATATTTAATTATGAATAATGCTAGAACCAATTTACCTAAGGTCCTTTAATACGCATTATGTCTTAAGTATTAATTAATTTAATTAATTAATTTTATTATGTGATTAATGTGAAATATAATTATGAACCCAAATGTGATTTAATAAAATATAAGAACCTATTGATTATTATAAGAAGTTAGAATAAAATAAATATAAAGTAAAATAAAAATTTACAAGTAACTAACTTGATGGACGTTGGTTAATAAAAAAAATTAGGGTTTTGTCTCTCGGCCATTAGATTCTTCTAATGGTAAACTATTGAATTATTGACAAGCGTACCAAAATTATCAATCGCACTATAGTATTTCAATTAAATAAAAGTCAATCCCATGAGGAACAGTTTCAATGGAAATTCCCAATTATGCTTACTAAGTAGATTAAACAGATTGAGTTTTGCAAATAAGAGTTGAATTGAAATTAAATTACAAAGAACTGTAAATTGTTGAGAAAATATCAATTCAAGGTACTTAGAATTGACTTCTTTCCTTATCCCTCTTTTGTAATGACTAAATCAATTAAAAACGTCAATTAACCTAACAATGTTGATGTCACCTACTCAAACCATCCATATTGATTCCTCACACATGAAATTCATAAGAAAACCTAATAAATGTTGATTCCTCACACAATTAAGAGATTTTTCAGCATTAGGGTTAGGGTGTTAAGCAATTGATACATTCATTCCATTTCTGGCAATTAACGTAACAAATATTCTTACCGTGATCTAGGGTTCAAGATACATTTTCCAATCATACCCCAAACATAAAAAATAAATCATTCCAAAGCATAAAAGATAAGAATAACAACATCAAAACATAGATTAATATCTCAAAATATCACCATGATACAAAAGAGTTCAAAGGAAGTGCACTGAATCCTAAGAGAATGAAGTTAGTCACTCATGTTGGCCATTACAATGCTCTAATTGATGAAGACGTGAAGAATTGATAAAGATTAGACGAAACCCTAACAATAGTCGTGCCTCCTCTTCTCCAAGACTGCTTGTTTTTCTCAAAACACAACTTATCTTTTTATAAGAGAATTTGGGTCGGGCCTCACATCATTCATTCGCTTAAGCGTTCTTCTTTCTTTCAATTTTACTCTAATTATGCTGACAATTATGCTCCTTACTCTTGTATCAAGATATTCTCAAATCCATCCTATATTGGAAGAAAAATATATTAGAATTAACATAAATTAAGTGGTTTCATAACAATTTAAGGCGTAATTATATCAACTTTTTACCACTTAACAAAAGTGTTACAAGAGAAAAAAATACAAATAGATTGATTGTGATAAAAATATTGGAGAACAAATATATTGAAAAACATATTCTCATTAAATATCTATTAAAGAACAAGGTTAATCTCTTTATTATAATTTATTTTATTAAATAAGAATCATGAATCTAAAGATATTATAAAGTAATTTTCTAAAATAAATGAGTAACATAAGAAAATTAAAAATTAATTTAGATGTCATTATGTTTTTAATTCGGATAGTAAATTTAAATTTGGTAGTCAACTTGCTCTACCAAATGAATACTCCTCACAATAACCCGTTTCAAGTTATGCTTTTACTAAATTTTTATTCATTCGTGCATGCCAATTAGATTCATTATGGGTTAAAAATGTTAGCATTTTGGAAATATAGGTAAGTTTTTAAAAAATTACATAAAAAAAATTAAATCGTGTTATCTTATGCAATTTTAAACTAAAAAAAATCGGTTTAAAGTCGTATAAATCAGAATGAGTTTAGAATAGAAAAATTAAAATAGTGTTATCTATAATAAATTTAATTTAATATAATTTTTTAACTAAAATCATCGTACATAATATGATTTTAGTTATAAAATAATACGATTTTAATTTTTTTTAAATAATTAAATTAACTTTGTTACATATGTTATTTAAAACATTAATAATTTATATATTTATTATTATATATATTTATGTTATAAAATATTATATTAATTAATTATTTTATTTATATCAATTATTATTTTATATAAATTTTTGTATAAATAATAAAAATAGATAAATAAATATATATTAAAAAAATTATTTTTAAATTTAAAGTGTGTTATATTATTAATTTTAAAATTAATATATATATATATATACAACAAAAAATAAATAAATAAATAATTTTTTAAATAATATATTTATCTAAAAAACTTAATTTAATTGTAAAAAAATTACAAATATATATATATATATATATATATATTAATTATTATTTTATATAAACTTTGTATGAGTAGTATATATATATATATATATATATATATATATATATATATATATATAAATTATAATGTTATTATAAAATTAAATAATATATATTTTTTACGTTTAAATTTTTTTATATAATATTATATATTATATATATCAATTATTATTATTATTATATTATATTTTGTATTGTATAAATAATAATATTTTTTAATTATATTCATAATTTAAAATTAATTAAAATATTATTTAATGAAAAACTGCAAAAATATATTTAATATATATTTTAAAATAAATAATATAACACAATTTAAATTTAAATTTATAATTTATTAATATATATAATTAAATATTTTTTTCTAATTTTATTATTTATACAAAATTTATATGAAATAATAATTGATTTAAATAAAGTAAATAATTAATATAATATTTTATAAGATAAATATATATAATAGAAAATAAATAAATTATTAATTAAAAAAATCTAACAAAATTTATTTAATTATTAAAAAAATATATAACTTCGTACTGGCACGACTTTAATTCTAAAAAAGATTTACATTGAATTAATTTCGTTATAGATAACACGATAACGTTGTACGATTTGTTCATTTTAAAGTTGAGCAACGTAACACTATTTAATCCTTTACGTAAGTTTTTAAAAACTTGGCTCATAATTAACATATTTTAAACCATTTTGGTTAAAAAACCTCCATTCTCAGATAAGGAGTTTAAGTTGAAAATAACCATAATTAAATTCCTTATTATGTATACTGTATAATAGCAACCATTAAAAAATTCAAAAAGATTATAACTTCCCACGATAAATAACACGTTTAACCGCTATTGTTAATAAAAGCCGTAACAACTGGTTCGATTCTATATATGAACGAATCATGGGAAATTATCTCACCAGAAACCACGTGATGTTGTGTGGTCCTTTTGAAGACGAGAAAGTTTTTTTTGGCGCCAATGAAGTGAAGGAGAAAAATGAATGTGGAAATGATGTTAAGATATATGAAGCGCTGAGCTGATATAGATGTTTGCAGAAAATATGGGGTAAAAAACTAAATGTAAGCAACACTTTACGAAATTTGCTAATTAAAACTGCATAATTTTCATTTTTTCTGTAGCACCTTTTGTAAATATGTAAGTGGTCAATGCTAGAATGTAGCTTGTGCCACAAATGAAAATCGTAAACGGTGATCCTCGAGATTGTTGACAGTGGAACTTGTTGCCACCCTCTGTCCAACATTATAGGTTAACGATTATGTTGATAACCCAGTATATTAATAATTATTATTGGGTTTAGGGTGGTATGAAAAAATTATTTTTCTAATTTTAAAACCTCTAGTAAGTTATATATTAACAAATTTACCTCTAAATTGATCTTCATTTGCTGCTTGGTGTAGACTGAGTTTAAATGAAAAGTGGTTGTTGGTTATTTAATGTTTGGTGAGGAGCATTGTCATTCACAGGAATGTTGAACAAATCTCACAATGAAAACAAATTTCCATGCTAAAAGAACTCCATGCAGCATTTTCATGATGATGCAAGAGTTGACAGAAGATGATTCGTATGATACTTTGTATGCATTTAAAGATAGAGTTGGTAGATTTTCTTAACTAGATCAATAATACGATGAATTTTGTTTATCTCCAATTCTCTTGAATATGTTAAATAATCCCTCTAGATGACTAAAATAATAACCCTTCATTATGTTCTCTTAATTGCTGTAGAAGGATCAACAAATGACCAGGGTAGTATAGTGTGATTTGCTGGGTGAAGATCTGGTTTCAGTAATAATTAGGTATTAGTATCAACTAACCTTTTTTTTTCTGATAATTAGATGAGTTTTTTTACACACAAGGAGGCAGAAAAAGAATTCAAAAACTCTTATTTCTTTCATACAAATATAAATAATAATAATAATAATTAAAAAGTACAAAGGGAAGAATAGTTTCACACAATGCAATTAATAATTTATAGAAATATTTCGTGCATAAAAATCATGAGTTGATAACAAGGTGCTTATGGTGATGATACGATTGTTACGTCATTATTATGATCCTGTTATTAATACCATGTTTATTCTTGATGCATCAAAGGGGTCACTTGGATAAATATTGTGCCTTGTAGAGAAATTTTTAAGGAACATAGCCACCATGGCCACCGCCACTTCCACCACCTCCTCCATAACCACCACCATGTGCTCCACCTGCCCCATATCCACCTCCTCCACCGGCGCCTCCGCCCGCCCCATATCCACCTCCATGGGCTCCTCCATCACCATAACCTCCTCCAGTTCCACCTCCACTTCCTCCACCTCCTCCATACCCAATGCCATGCTCCCCACCGGCACCATACCCTCCACCTGATCCACCTCCACCTCCTTCACCACCTCCATAGCCAGCAGCACCATGATCTCCACCAGCACCATAGCCTCCTCCACCTCCTTGACCTCCTCCATAGCCACCACCATGTTCTCCACCATACCCTCCGCCAGCACCACCTCCTTGACCACCCCCATATCCTCCACTATGCTCTCCACCTGCACCATATCCTCCACCAGCTCCACCTCCTTGCCCGCCCCCAGACCCACCACCATGCTCTCCACCACCATATCCTCCACCAGCTCCACCTCCTTGACCACCCCCAGATCCACCACCATGCTCTCCACCTGCACCATATCCTCCACCAGCTCCACCTCCTTGACCACCACCATATCCACCTCCGTGCTCTCCGCCACCACCATACCCTCCACCTGCTCCACCTCCGCCTCCGCCTCCTTGACCAGTCCCGTAACCGCCACCATGCTCTCCTCCTGCCCCACCGCCAGCACCAGCTCCTCCGCCAGTACCATATCCACCACCCTGTGCTCCTCCTGCACCATATCCACCTCCACCACCAGCACCACTTCCACCACCTCCTCCGTACCCAATGCCATGTTCCCCACCAGCTCCATATCCCCCTCCAGCTCCACCTCCTTCACCTCCACCATAACCACCACCATGCTCTCCCCCACCACCATAAGCCACCCCACCACCACCACCACTTCCACCACCGCCACCATATCCAGCTCCATGATCACCACCATATCCTACTCCCCCACCTTGTCCTCCACCACTGCCACCTCCATACCCAACAACTCCATGCTCCCCACCATATCCACCGCCACCACCCGAGCCGCCTCCTCCACCACCACCATATCCACCCTCAATGCCATGGCCTAGACCATAGCCACCACCAAGGGTGAGAAGGGCCCTTCTAGCAGAACATACACCTAGAGCCAATAGTACTAAGAATACAACACTGGGAAATCTGTGTATAGTAGCCATGGGACCGAAGATGAAATCCCAGAAGGTAGGTTGGTTTGGAAGTGACGAAGGTTGAATGGTATTTATAGGGATTGGGAAGGCGCGTTGAGAGCAAAGAGTGGTTGAAGCACATGGATATGAAAGTTGGATGTCCCCACAGTGTGGCCCAATATGCCAACATACAAAGATACACTGAAAGCACTCATACTGGAGCTACCCTCACACCATTCTCATTGTGTGCTTCTGCTGTCTTCCACATCCAACGGAGTATGCAGTATCAATACAAATAGCTACTCCAACAAACCTTAGCTTTTTCTTTTCTTTTTTTCAACTTCAACTTTTCATTTCTATACCTAAAACCTATTTTACTACCTACCTATTCCTAGCTGCCTCCCACCGCCACTCATCACTACTTTACACTGCATTTTACTTTCTTAATCTTCTTCTTCTTCCCTGTTTCTTTCTCAATCTCATAACTGTAGCACCATTGAGAGAAAAGACATCCCTTGACCTTGTTCTTAGTATGCCCTAACTACATGATGGACCTTTTTTACATCTAATATATATAGAGTGGTGATATTTTGACATGATTGAATAAAAATAAAAATTAAAACAAAACTATTATTATAATATTAAAAGAGAGTTGTTTATAGAAGTTGTATGAATTTGGGTTGTGAAAGTATCATTTTCCATATATATATATATATAACACATCAAAGGGCTCCTGAATTTTTTGACATCCAACAATATATAAGCATTAGTTCATTTACCTTTCATTTTATTTTTTTTACCTATATCTTCTTATCACATTGTATAATAAATCATACTAATTACTTATTTCTCTCCTCTTCATATAGGTCTCTAAACCAAACCAGAGTTCAAGAATAATTTTTCTACAAAATGTCAAACTTTAAATACAATTTTATTTCTCATCACTCAATTGTAAGGACAAACTTGTACTGTACCAATTTAAGTTTATATATTATATATTGCTTTGTTATACAGTATCTTTTTATAGTATTATTTTTCTCTCGTTGTCTTTCCATTATATTGATTACCTTAGTTTACAATTTTTTTCTAACATTCTTTTTTTGCTGTATAAAAAATTCTATCTCCTTGAGAACGTGGCTATAGTTTTTCAAGAGTGGTATGAACATTTGCCCCCAAGCATTATATTTCTGTGCAAACTGTTTTACTAAACCTCGTCAAACAATGATATTAATTATATATATTTATCATAGGTTGGCCATATTAATCATATGAAAATAAATATACATTATTCATAACACTGAATTCCCTGTATGTCTAATTCGTTAAGGTATCATCACATACATCAAACACTTGGGGACAATATAATACTACGAGCTAGCATTAGAGTATAAACAAAATCCAATTCTATCAATGAAATACATATAATTGAATTCTGCATCATTATAATTCTAAAATTTTAATCATATCTTGTACGTATTATCATATCATCTATATTATTAAAACATGTCTAATTTAACACTTGATTAAATAATAGGGCAAAGGTTTATTTGAGATAGCCGATCTCTTCAAATTCTTAATTCTCATGGCAGATTTATGACGCATTAATTGTGCATACACTAAACATGTTATATCCATATGGTAGAAACATCTTTCTTAGTTACCTTATTTATGCTACATAACTTCCAGCACTTTTTAGAACATTCTTATGGTTCTCATTTCATCTTGTCAATTCTTTTCCTTTCGCACTTTTGTTTCTTTTCTTAAAAAAAAAAAAAAACTACACAATCGTAATTTACTAATTAATAGAAGTTCTATTTATTTTTTATTTTTTTTTATAACAAACTCTTAAGTTGGCATGTTTTCATCATGGCTTCTTTAACCTGGTTTCTCTTCATTAAAAAACTAATAACGAAAGGCCATGAAATATAGGGCAATATAGTCATGCATGTATACGACTAATAAAGAGATTCACACCATTCAAATATCATAAAGAGACTCAATACAAAAATGTATTACTATATATATCAATAGACCAGTGTAAGTCTTGCAGAGCTTCAACCCATTCGACTTTTATGTAAAACATAAAATTAGAATACAATGCATAAATAGTTTATGAGGATCCTCGTACTCCTACCCATACATTTTCTTATTATTGTTACTATAGCCACAAGGAGGTAGCTACCATATTTCTTAGGTAATGTATTCTATTCATCTCAGGGGTAGTAACCCCCACCGTGGCCACCACCTTCGCCACTCCCACCACCACCTCCATATCCACCCCCACGTGCACCTCCACCACCATAGCCTCCACCGCCACCAGAGCCACCGCCACCCCCACCAGCTGCTCCACCACCATATCCTCCACCAGCTCCTTGTCCAGCTCCCTCACCACCACCATATCCCCCACCATGTGCTCCGCCAGCACCTCCTCCACCACCTCCTCCACTTCCACCTCCTCCTCCACCATTCGCTCCACCGTATCCACCACCAGCTCCACTCCCTTCCCCACCTCCATAACCACTACCAGACCCCCTGCACCACCGCCTCCTCCCCCTCCACTTCCACCTCCACCACCATAACCACCCCCATTTGCTCCACCTCCGCCATATCCTTCCCCACCCCCTTTACCAGCCCCTCCGCCATATCCACCACCATCAGCACCACCGCCACCTCCACCACCGTTTCCTCCACCACCACCGTGTCCACCACCCGCCGCACCATATCCAGCACCGGCGCCTTCACCTCCTCCAGCTCCTTCTCCATAACCACCACCACCGTGCTCAACCGGGGCTCCACCTCCTCCGCCGCCACCGCTCCCTCCACCACCGCCATATCCACCAACAACAACAGTACCAACAGCGCCATGCAAGTTCACATGTTCCTCTAGAGTGAGGAGTGTTCTAGCAGCTGAGCAAATGCCCAAACAAAGCAACACAAAAAGAACGTTACTGAGAATTACCTTAGAAGTTGCCATTGCAAAGTGTGGTTTTGGAAGCAAAGTGCATGCGTATTTATAGTAATGGGCCTGGCCCATTACACAAATGGAGGGGCCCTAAAGCGTGTTTTAATTTGTCGAAGTGTGGCCCACTGCACATGCAGAAGTTGGTTGGGTACAAGTACAGAAAATCGCATTATAAGACCCACTGGTGTGCTTTTGCTGTCAAGCACAACCATTACATTGATCTTGTTCTCACTTCTCACTGTACTAGCTATGATATAAACCTATTCTCCATTATCTGATAAAACGTATATTGGTTTTCTCTTGAGGATGTCGGAATAATTCATCTTTGATGTTCACACTTAGCACCATTGGCCACTGCAACTATTTTCTTTTTCTTTCAAATTTTCAGCAGCTGTACAGCAACTTGCTCATGATGTGGATTTATATGTATCCTGATATATCACTCGGCTTTTCTGAACATTTTACCTTTCCTATGATAATGAAAAAATAATTTTTGATGGTGATACGATTGTTCATGCAACAAAGGCTAAAGCTAGAACGAAGTCAGATTGTGTGAATGAGTAAAAAGGTGAATTAAGAATTTTAATATCATAAAAAAGTAATTCTTGTATAAATACATGTTATAGAAGAGTTAAAAAATACCTATATAAACATTTTTTTTGGGTTTTTACTGTCTGTCTCAAGTTCAACCCAGCGTGAAAAGTGAAAAGGCCATGTATTTTTTGCGGCCATGTTCCACTCCATTAGTGTGAATTTGGCTAGTGGCAAGTGATTTCCACCCAAACATCAATCAATTGCTCTTTCTTAAATAGTAAGGAGCATCAATAAAACAACCCAGGAAATACATTTAATTTACTGTTACGAAGAACAACATACAGAGAGTAGTATATAAAGAAAACACAAAAAATCATGTTTTCGCATTGGCAATGGTTTCACTGGACATTTCCATGTCAACATTAATCGCCTAAAAGAAGAGCCTTTGCATGTGGGTATGTGTGAATTGGATGATAGGGTTTGAAACGTCAAATTGTTGCTTCAATTTGAAGGCACTTAGGCTTACCCTTTACCTCCAGCTATATATCACTAACATTAACAATGGGGAAGCTAATTCTCCAGTACCAGTTCATGAAATTGAAAGAAGGTATAGTGGATGATCACATGAAAGTTCCAAGATTGCGGGATCCACCCATCTTCTTCTGCTTGTCTAGTGGATTGCCCTTTTCCCCCTTCACGCTCACCTGTCAGCAGAAATGTTTGACTCTAGCAGCAATATATGTTGCCCACTACTTCATCACAGATGTTACCATGTAAAATAAACAGAAGGAACAAGCTACCATAAGTAGTGCCTGGTATTTTCGTTATTTGATACAGCGTTGGATCAGGTTTAATATGTTAATTAAATTATGAATATGTTTCGAAGTAGCTTAAATATTCTGTGGAACATGGAATACTTGTTTAATATGCATAGATAAACCTTCTGATTATGGTATTAATGATATTCTTGGACAGATTTTTACGGAGCAGTTAAAATCATAATGGAGGAAATAACTCATGCTCAATATTTTAACGTAAAAAACTTACCATTATAATAAGGGAACAATTATTTATCTTATAATAGAAAAACATCTCTCCATATGAAATTGGAGAAAAACTAATACGATGCTGTCTTATGATAATATCTCTGAAATAGGAAAAAATATTTATAATATATTTTTCTCTTGTATGAGATGTTAAAATTGATAAAATGGGTTCTTGTTTAGAACCAAATATTTGAGTTTAAGAATTGAATGTCATTGTGAAAATTTCCACCAACCAACCATTTAACAAGCATAATATCATGTAGAGGTAAATTTTATCATAAAAACTGACTTTACTATTTTTGCACAATCTCTTCATCCTTCATGGTATATAAAGATTACAATAAACCTATAAATATAGGTTCAAGCAATCACGAGACAACTAAAAAATATCACATATTCCAAAAGAAGTTTAAAAGTTCTATGAAAGACTTATTTTTCTATAACATATTCTAATTATCATAATATACAAAAATCTTCTATGATATCTGTCCAAACTCTTTTATTAAACTTTACATGTAAATAAGTTCCTTCACCATAAACTTAAGTTCAATAATTTACAATTTGATAACCAACGTCCCATTCTCTGTACAAATGTAATCACATAATCTACATAAATTTTATTTTATAAGATTAACTAGAAAATTTGAATTAACATAACCCTTAACATTAAACTTTGGTTTGTTAAAACATAATAATATACACCTAAGATTTCTTTAATATATTTAAAGGATTCTCTTAATAATATTTTATTTGAAAAGTTCTTCCGCTTAATATTTATTCTTGTACAATTCTATTAACTTAGGTTAACTAGAAATTTGATAATATATATAATCTTTATATTTTGTAAGATTGAATTATGAATGTTATATTTTTAGAATTAATTCGATAAACATAGAATATACGATTACAAATACCAGTATCATGCCATGATTCTACATGATTAATTTTTTCCATATTTAGCTTGGCATGACAATGATACACGGTGATGCACATTAATGTCATATCCGTTAATAGACAAATTTAGGATACCGACTATAATGGTTAGCGTAATTATAGCCTAGAATGTTTACGTATTTCATGTATATATTGTGCTATCATATTCAATACAAGAGAGGGGTTTTTGGAAATATTTTTATCATGGTATCGGAGCGAACCAAACTCGATATCCAATGACCGAGAACACAGTCGTACTTCTAAAATGGCAGAGAGAGGAGAGACGGTGAAGAAAACACCATTGCCATACGATCCGAGTGCCGGTGATAATCCTGGAAATGTGATTACACGGTACAATTACGAGGAGAGAATTACGAGGAATGGGCAAGGGCCGTGAAGATATCTCTGCGGGCTCGAAGAAAATGGGGTTTCATAGATGGAACTCATAAGGAACCCGAAGAAGACACATCCGAGATAGAAGATTGGTGGACAATTCAATCGATGCTTGTATCTTGGATACTAAACACTATGGAACCTAGTTTGCGTTCCACCGTTGCATACATGGAAAACGCAAAGGACCTATGGGATGACATCAAGGAACGATTCTCGATCGTGAACGGACCAAGAATCCAGCAGACTAAAGTCGAGTTGGCGAGAATGCAAACAACAAGGAATGACTATGGTTTCCTATTATGGGAAGTTGAAAACGTTGTGGGATGAACTGGCAAATTACGAGCAAATCCCACAGTGTAGATGTGGGGGATGCAAGTGTAATATTATGACGCAACTTGAGAAACGAAGAGAAGAAGAAAAAATTCATCAGTTCTTGATGGGGCTAGATGATGAGGGCTATGGAACTGCACGGTCAAATGTTTTGGCAACAGATCCATTACCCTCGTTGAATCGGGTGTATGGCACCATGGTGCAAGAAGAAAGGGTGAGAACAATCACCAGGTCTAAAGAAGAGCGAGGAATGATCGTGGGAATGGCTATGCGAGCGGAAACCGAGGAACAAGTTGCGCAATGAAGCGAAAGAAAAATCGAGTTGTTTGCATGCAGTGTGGAAGGAAGGGACATGACAAAGGCAATTGCTTCAAGATCATTGGTTACCCAGAATGGTGGGGAGAGAGACCACGAACCGATAAAAACGATGGAAAAAATCAACAAAGAACGAGGAACCTTCCGAGGAAAAGGAGGAACGGCTCGCGTCAATATGGCGCACACCGGTGCGGATAACGTTGGTTCAACCGAAAACCGAAGTCACAGGATCGAGTAATGAGCAATGACAGATCTTGACAAGCAATGTTGAATTCTCGCAAGGCAAATGAAACTGAAAAGATGACTGGTAAGAAAGCATGTGACTTGTGGATTATTGATAGTGGCGCCTCTAATCATATGACAGGAACACTAGAAAACTTGAGGGAGAGTCGAGCCTTGGAAGGGTGCCCAGTGGGACTACCAAATGGTGAATTGGTGTCTGGCAAACAAAGAAGGATCGGTTTTTCTTGATGGAGGACTGAAACTTAAACATGTTCTATATGTTCGAAATTGAATTGCAATTTGATTTCAAGTATCACAATTGATGAATGAAGTAAAATGTACAAGTACATTTTACTGATAGATTTTGTGCAATGCAGGACCACACTTCGAGGATGCCGATTGGTGCGGGTGAACGAAAAGAGGGACTCTATTGGTATCGTGGTGTGAGTGGCATAAAGGCGTATCAGACCAATGCAGAAAATCAACTAGAGATTTGGCACAAGCGAATGGGACATCCTGCCTACCAGATTGTTAGAAAAATTCCGCATCTGAACAGCGTGAATAGAAATACGGATACAACTCGTGTGTGTGAAGTGTGTGAGAGATCAAAGCAATGCAGAAACACATTTCCTTTAAGTGATTTTCAAGCATCCAATATATTTGATTTAATACATTGTGATGTATGGGGTCCATATAGAACTCCCTCGTCTTGTGGTGCATCTTACTTTCTCACTTTGGTTGATGACTGTTCTCGAGCTGTGTGGATATATCTCTTGAATAATAAGAAAGATGTGTCACAAACCTTAATGCATTTCATCGCCTTAATAGAACGACAATACGAGAAGCAAGTCAAAATATTACGAAGTGACAATGGAACTGAGTTTATCTGTCTTCAACGATATTTTCAGCAACATGGGATACTCCATCAAACCTCATGCACCTGGAACACCTCAGCAAAATGGGAGAGCCGAACGAAAACATCGACACATCCTAAATGTAGCTCGTGCTCTACGATTTCGGGGAGAACTTCCACTTCAATTCGGGGAGAATGCATTTTGACCGCAGGATACTTGATCAATCGTACACCCTCAACCGTTCTCCATGGAAAAACTCCATATGAAATATTGAATGGGAAGCCACCCACTTATGACCATCTACGGGTATTTGGATGCTTGTGTTATGCACATAACCAAGATAGGAAAGGTGACAAATTTGCAAGTAGAAGTCGCAAGAATGTATTTGTTGGATATTCAATCGAAAAAGAGGTCGGAAATTGTTTGATCTGGAAAGAGAAGTCTTCCGGACTTCGAGAGATGTTAAGTTTGAACATGAATTCCCGTTTGTCTCTCTTGCCCACAGTAGACATTCGGAGGTAGGATTGCCTACCGTTGATGTTGGCATTGTCGAGGAAGCATTGCCTGGACTTGGTGCAATGAACAATGCGGAACACGTTGTGGAGACCGATGACGTTAACCCCACAACGGAAGATGTGCCCACAACCGAGTTCGGGGAGGGCCACGCCGAATGCCATGAACAAGAGCCTCCCACCCGGATCGTTCTCCCACCGGAACAAGCCGACTCTATGATGACGGAACTAGAGGTTCCTGAGGAGCATACTGTCCCTGCATCCCCGGGAAAAGGTCTTCGTGTACGAAAGCCATCTCGTGAAGCTTCGTGATTATGTCACTAACACCACTTTACAACTCGGTCCCTCAATTCGCACTCCACATTCAGCTTCCTCGGGTATGCCTTACAGTTTGACAAAGTACTTAAATTGTGCTAAATTCTCCTTCCCCCACCGAACCTTTCTTGCAGCCCTTCATGCGGAGAGAGAACTCGTGCATTTCTTTGAAGCCGTTCGGGATGTTAGATGGAGAGATGCCATGGCTAGTGAAATTCGGGCCCTCCAAAGTAATGAAACATGGGACATTACTCCTCTACCGGCACGGAAGAAGCCTCCGGGTTGCAAGTGGATTTATAAAATCAAATATCATTCCGATGGGAGCGTTGAACGCTTCAAAGCCCGATTAGTTGTCTTGGGAAATCACCAAGTTGAGGGGATTGACTATGACGAGACTTTTGCCCTGATGGCAAAGATGGTCACCATTCGGACGAGTGTTGGCAGTGGCAGTAGCCAAAGACTGGGAACTTCATCAAATGGATGTCCATAATGCTTTTCTCGCACGGCGATCTTGAGGAAGATGTGTACATGAAAATGCCGCCGGGGTTCTTGGTGTCTCAAAAGGGTATGGTGTGTCGTCTCCGCAAGTCCCTTTATGGTCTTCGTCAAGCTCCTCGGTGTTGGTTTGCCAAGCTCTCAACCGCTCTTGTTCAATATGGATTTCAACGTTCTTCGTCCGATCACTCCTTGTTCATCTTTCGCAAAGGAGATGTCGAACCTGGTTGTGTTAGTTTACGTGGATGACCTAGTCATTGCTGGCAATCATCATGAAGACATTGCGCAATTCAAAGATTATCTTCATCAATGTTTTCGTATGAAGGACTTAGGGAAATTAAAATACTTTCTTGGGGTGGAGGTTGCCGGATCTCCTACAGGAATTTTCTTGTGTCAACGGAAGTATGCGTTGGACATCATAGCTGAAGCAGGATTGCTTGGAGGGAAACCCGTGTCCACGCCAATCGAAGAAAATCATCGTTTAGCATTGGGCGATGGCGAACTACTTTCCGACTCGAGTCAATATCGACGTCTCGTCGGTCGACTTATTTACTTGTGTTTTACACGGCCTGAATTATCTTACAGTGTTCATGTCCTATCTCAATTCATGCACCAACCGCGTCAGGAGCATTGGCGGGCTGCACTCCGCGTGGTACGCTATTTAAAGGGCAGCCCAGGTCAAGGTGTGCTTTTAAAAAGAGAGAGTGACCTTCGTCTTTATGGTTGGTGTGACTCGGACTAGGCAAGTTGTCCTCTAACTCGAAGATCTCTCACCTGTTGGTTTATTTTCCTTGGTCAATCCCCCGTTTCCTGGAAAACCAAGAAGCAACATACAGTTTCTCGATCATCCGCTGAGGCAGAATATCGTTCTATGACCAACACGACATGTGAGTTGAAATGGCTTCAAGGCCTTCTTTCGAGCCTAGGCATTACTCACACCGACCCTATGACTCTCTATCGTGACAACCAAGTCGCCCTTCACATTGCCAAGAATCCTGTGTTTCATGAACGGACAAAACATATTGAAGTGGATTGTCATCTTATTCGTGATGAAATACAACACAATCATATACAACCCTCCTATGTGTCCACTCATCATCAACTGGCTGATCTCTTCACCAAATCTCTTGGCGCCACTAAATTTGGTTCTTTTTTAGGCAAGTTGGGCATTCACAACCTTCATACTCCATCTTGAGGGAGGGTGATAAACATAGAATATACGATTACAAATACCGTATCATGCCATGATTCTACATGATTAATTTTTTCCATATTTAGCTTGGCATGACAGCGATACACAGTGATGCACATTAATGTCATATCTGTTAATAGACAAATTTAGGATACCGACTATAATGGTTAGCGTAATTATAGCCTAGAATGTTTCTGTATTTCATGTATATATTGTGCTATCATATTCAATACAAGAGAGGGGTTTTTGGAAATATTTTTATCAAATTCTAGAATTATGGTAATGTGACCAATATCTAATAGTTAATATATGAGATATATTCGTGGTTTCTCCTTTACTGATACGAAACATACACGAGAGTAAGTTATAAACAATACGGTATTCTTCTCAGAAGTTCAAACCTTCCCCCCCCCCCCCCTCTCTCTCTCTCTCTCTCTATAGATAGATAGTTATTAGTTAGGGTGAAACTTAGATGGGCCTATGTGTCCTTGGAAGCCCCAGTGTACATTCTAAATGGGCATATATGTGGCTGAGTCCCAACCTTAACAGACAGATTTATAAAACAGTAATACCTTCCGTAATGTTTTCATGAGTCCCGTATTTTGTTCATGTTTAACAAAATTTGTATAAATTCATTCAATAATCTAAAATTTATTGAGAAAATTATGTAGTGGGTAGTCCTGTGGCAAAAACTGTTAGGTAATCCCCAGTGAATTTTGAATGTTGAACAAATTAGATGAAAAAGTTTCCATATTAGTTTATACACAGTTTAGCTTTAGATTATGAAAAACGTATTTTTTTTTTAGTTTATTTTCCTTGTTTAGAAATGTTTATGAAAAAAGTTGATAAAAAAATATAACACTGCAGCAGCATCTAATTATTTGGTGCAGTGTGAGTGGCAGCGGAGCATGGTGCAGGAGTTGTGTTATTTTATAAGGACCGAATGCCTTGATGCAGGGATTGGCAAAGGCTTTGCTGAATGCAGTGGACAGTGTTATTGTACTACTGATGACAAAAGGGGACTATCACGTGTATATTATGTGTGATCATTTTTAGTTTGCTCTTCACTGCTTAAGTAGATGAGACAAAATATTACATTCGCAAATGAATTGTAACTGAAAACGTTATTTACTAATTTTTTTTTTTTGTTCCTTCTTTCCTCACTCGTTTTCTTATTTTGCATAATCACATTTAAATTAACTAGTTTCTGTTGTTGTTTTAAATTTAAAGAATCAATTTTTAACAAATATTTTTCTGTAACACAATTTTGGACATCAAATTCATAACTACAGACTTTTAACAATGGCATGGGGATTTAAATCAGTTGTTCTGTGATTGTTTGATGAAACTGGTGCAATTTCATTCCAAAATTATCGATGCAATTTTTTTTTTTTAAATCATACAAATGATAAAGTGTTTTTAAATATGATTTTATAAAGAAAAAATCGTATTTTAACAGCAGGATTTTCTATTACGATTTCATTTATTTTTTTTACATTTAAAACTTTTCCTTTGTTTTTTAATAAAGTGGTGTAGTGCATGATTTCATTTTTTTTTAATATTCTAAAGTTCAATTTTAAATTTTTTGTATTATTACTATTTTTATTATTATTCATTTTTTTATTTTTTTTATAAATAAAAAGTTATCATAATATTAAAAATAAAGAATAAAATTAATATTAATATCATTTATGATTTTTTTATTATAATTAGTACTATCAATATTATTTATTATTAGTTATTAATAATAATTATAATAATATTATTAATTATAATAAAAATAATATCATAATAACTAATAAAATTGTTTACTATTTTGATTTATTTGTATTAAATATTATGATAATATTAAATTATAATTATTAAAATGAAAATATCAATACGAATAATTATTATAATCAATACTTTTATAATTCATATTAAAATAAATAATTAATACTAATAATAATTATAAAAGTATTAATTATTTATGGTAGTATTAGTTATCGTTATTAATAGTATTTTTTTTATTTTAATATTAATATTTGTATTTTCATAATAATTTTAATTAATAGTATCATAATATTTAATACCAATAAATAAAAATAATTAATACTTTTATTAGTTATTATGATTATTATTTATTATTTATTATTAGTTAATAATAATAATAATAATCAATATTATTATATATATATATATATATATTAATTATAAAAAAATCGTAATTAATATTAATATTAATTTTATTATTTACTTTAAATATTGTAAAAAATATATTTATAATAAATAAATGATAATAATAAAAATAATATTAATAAAAAAGTTAATATCAATCCTTCAAATATTAAAAAAAATGTGTCAAAATACAAATTTAGTCCGAGAAAAAAAACACTAGAATTATATTTGTATTTTTTTTTCTGATGATCTTATGGTTTTAATGTGTGACATTCTCACTTGACATTGTACACGAAAAAGATCTATTTAGATAAATAAAGGGGAAGAAAATAATATTTTTTTAATATTATTTCAGAATAAAATTCAACAGAAATAACATTAATTTATTTATTAAAAAAACAACATTGGGTGCCAATGCTCCTCCTACATTAATACATTATATGACCACGAAGCTAGTTGACACATAAGCAGGAAGTGAAGAAGAAACAAGGACAGAAACTAAGGAACAAGGTCAAGAATAGTGTTTCGACCACCGGATCTGTTCTCCTTTCTCACGTATTCTTTCATTTCTTCAACCCCATACGCCTTCAACCCCACCTCCCCCTTCGTCTTCCACAGCAACTCCCCGAATCTTCTATGTCCCCAATACGCCTCCGCCTCCACCCTCTCCCCACCCTCCACCGCCGCCACCGGTAACCGCTCGTAGCACCCGGCGCTCACGCCTTCGAACTCGTCCAGCACAGCCACCGCACCCTCCGACACGGCATAAACCTCGCCCTTCACCCGATGCCCTGACCCGGGTAGGTTGATCAGGTAAGGAATGCCGTGGGGCCCACACACCAGCGGGTAACACTCCTCCGTCGAGTAGGAGCCAACCAATACGGCGTCGTCTTGGCTCATCAACTCCTCCATCAGATAGTGGTTGGGGAATCCACGCTTCAACGTGCCGTACGCGAATATCAAATGGGTCTTCGGTTTCGCTTTCTCGCTCTTTCTCTCCATCACCACACAATCGCTTCCACCTCGCTGCATTTGTTTCTTATTCTTTAATCTTTTAAATCTATTTTAGACCCATTTATTTTTTGTGGGCCTAGGTCACAAAGGATTCTGGCCCATGTGCAGCTTCCATTCACCCTACAAAGCAAGAGTTTCCCTTCGATTGGGAGAAGACCACCTTGTCTCAAAGAGAGAAACCAAAATATTTTCATTCTAATATTACAAAAAAGGACAATTTTGTATTGGGTTTGATCAGGCCCAGGCCCAGGCCCAAAAAGACAATCTTTTAACTAAAAATTAAAAGATGAAAGAAAAACAAAGAAATGGGAAGTGAAGCAGATCCTAATATGTTGAAAACATTGGTGGACATGGGAACCCCACCGCATGCAATATTGCCAAAACTAGAATAACAATGTGTAAAGTGCAGCGAACTTGGGTTGATGAAACATTGCATCTGGAGGGGTAGCCCTGGCATAATGAAGAGCGCGTAGTGATTTTTCGTGGATGAACATTCTCTGCTGAAAAATCCATAGCAATGTATTCTAATTTCTAAATATATTATATTTTATGGAAGTACAAATGTATGTTTGTTTTGAAAAAATGCGGTGTTCCAAACTTGTGTGTGGAGATATATGTAAGCACGCGTACACAAAATGTTGTCAGAAAAGGATTGGCATGAGCATAACACTTTAACAACGAACATCCTACTAATCTTCTCTCTCCTTCGTTTCAACCTCTTGTCTGATTTGATTGCATGGCGGAGGAATTATTGAGCCCAAGAGCTTCTTAGATCTCATCTCTCTGATGTTACTGTTAATTGTAGGCAATTTTTAGTGATTTTCTTGGTGCAAAAAAGTTAAGGTCCGCAACTGATTTTGGAAGGACCATGTCGATTGGAAACTAGCGGCCTTCAAGCACACAACATACCATGTTCAACAATAATTCAACTACGCAAGTACCACAAAAATTACAGTATTTGATAGGAAGATTTTCTATAAAACTTAGGATTTACATCACTTTCTAGATATATACCCTTTTTTTTATTAACTATATTTCTAATAGAATTATAAATTAAGCCATTTTTGCAAAACTAAGTGAAAAACTACTAGCTAGTAGTAAATAATTATTAGCCCAATTCTTTAAATTATAAGTATTTGATAAATTTATTTATTAAAGAATTTAATAATTAAAAATGACAAAAATAGATGTTTAAATACTATTTTGTATCAAAATTAATTTTAATTTTATTGATGAAAATATATTTTAAAATAACTATAATTTTTAATTAATTTTAAACTTTTTAAATTTGTACTTATAGATAAATTATTTAATTATTTTATTTATTTCCAATTTTTATATTTTTCATATTGTATATTTTACTATCAGCCTTATATACGGTCTTAATTTTTATTTTTTACTTAAAACTTAAATTTCAATAATCAGTTATAAATTACTTAGATTGACAAAAGGTGCAAGTCTAAAACTTATACAAAATCATAATCTAGTCCATTTCCATATATTAATCCTGGGATTTATAATATCTAAATATATATAATAAATTTAACATATTTTATGACAGTTAATTAATTAATTAATTTTAATTAATCAATTTTAAATCATTTAATATAATTTGATACTTTAATTATCCATTAAAATTAATAATAAATTAATATATTTTTTCAATATTTCAAATTACATTCAAATTTATAGAAACATTTTATCGACTAGAAATGTGTTCTACAAGAAGCAATTATGTGTAAAATCTGTTACTTAGATTAAACTACTTTTGGTTAGTTGATGGGTGAGGTGGTCAAAAATTGTTATCGTATAAGAATCTACCGTTTTTAATTTTAAAACAAGTGTTATAAAATAAGAAATGATTGTTAAATATATTAAGGTATACTTTTGAGGTGGATCATGAATCACGGTTCTGGCAAAGAAGATCGAGACCGTCATATGGCAATTGGCAAAGGAGCGTTGTCGTGTGCGACGATTATTTAACTATTTTTCGTAAACTTTATCGATTAAAAAAGAACAAAGGGAGTGTACATGCGTGAATCTTTGTGAATGCGTGAATCTCTGTCCCATCCTGTGACACGGAATCCTTAGCCCGAAAACACGTTTAGAAAAGAAGTCATGGGAAAGAGAGACATTCACGGTGGCAGCTAACACATTATCCGTTATCCATTTCCTCAAATCACATCATGCCACCTAGGACTCACGTATCTTGACCATCTCATTCTGGCCTTCTGAGGCCACATGTTGCTCGTTACATCATAGTCCTTGTGCAACCAAAGCAACCCAGAAAACATTTCAAAGGAAAGAGAGAGCTTAAAGACAAGAGACCAAACATATTTTCATTTCCTCTTTTGAGTTTTAACAAATGGCAACCACCGTGATGACCACTCTCCCCCAATTCAGCGGTCTTAGACCCCAATTCTCAGCTGCCCCTGTGCAGAACTTGGTCAGAACCTAGTACCCTTTTATATTGACACATTTACCATGTCTTATTTATCATAGATATCTTATGTTAGACTCAGTTTGAACATGATCTTGTTGCTTTAACCATTTCTCATCTCTTACTTTCATTTGATATGTAATTGTGGTAACTGGGTATGTTTTTGTTCATAGGTTGCTGTCCAACCCATGAGGCGCAAGGGGAAGGGTGCTTTGGGAGCTAGATGTGACTACATTGGTTCATCCACTAATCTGGTAGGATCTTATGGGTTTCAATAATTTCTGTCTCCTTGTCCCTTTGCTTTTTCGTATGGATACTTTACAAAGCATAATAGGTAGTAGATTCAATTTTTAGTGAGGTACATAATAAATTACTGTTTATACATGCAACAATGAATTGCTGATTACATATCTATAATGGTACTAAAAATCATGTAGTTTCTTGTTCAGTCAGTCACAATGAAAAAAAAAAAAAGTGAGGGAGAATGTATTTTTGTTAATTGGAGTTCCTCTGTAATATTATAGAATTCATTGAATCACAGTCATAGAATTCTCTCAATAACCCCACCTACATATAGCATGTATGCCATACCAAGTAACTGGTAACTATGGTCTGAACAAAGTAAAACTTTCAAAAGCACTTGTCACCATTGTGAATTGTTTAATTGTTACTACCATGATTAGAAATACTACCAGCAAACTTTTAATAAATGAGGTCTTATTTTATACTATTACGAGTCTCTTTGCATGTTGCAGTGTTCAATAATTTTCAAACAATGATAAAATGTATGACAGTTGATATATCTGATAGTTGACATTTTGAACAGATTATGGTGGCTTCCACAAGCCTGATGCTGTTTGCTGGAAGGTTTGGATTGGCTCCATCGGCAAACAGAAAAGCCACTGCAGGGCTAAAGCTGGAGGTGAGGGACTCAGGCTTGCAGACCGGTGACCCTTCTGGCTTCACCCTTGCTGACACCTTGGCCTGTGGAGCTGTTGGCCACATCATTGGGGTTGGGGTTGTTCTTGGTCTCAAGAATCTCGGTGCCCTTTAAAGACCAGCTATATAAGTTTAGTGCCTCATGATGCCTGCACATGTAATCAATTAATCATGTACTTATTTTCACTTCACTCTTTACCCTTTCTCAACCTTAACTTAAATCTTCTGCTTCTCTCCTCCCTTTTAAAACAGACAAAAATATAACCGTGACAAAAAAAAACATGACCAATGTTGCCGCATAAAACATAAGCATAAGTGGCCAAATGCATTTTAATTGCTACCAATTATGAATGCATCATGCAACTTCGTATGCTCAATACAAGAAGTAAGAATACAGGAAGCAAAACTTATTTCTACAATCTTCTTATATGATAAAAAACAATTAAGAAGAAAATCAAATAAATTTTTTTATAAGTTAAAAATAATTTATATTATAAGAAGTTAATTTTAATTTAGGGGAAAATTTATTTAATCATTTTTTCTCTTATAAATACTTCTAAAAAAACTTATTCAAACAGGTATTAATTTCTCAACCGAACTAATTAAAAAATAAATAAAAAATCAATTACAAAATTTGAAACTCGACCAAAATAGTTATTTTATCTTTTTTATATAATAATTTGGTTCAAATTTCAGGGTAAAAATATAATAAAAAAATTAAATTAAAGTACTTAATTTAATGTTACATGATTAATTAACAACTAATAAATATATACTTTTAAAATTATTTTATAACTTGATTACATGATAATTTTAATATATTTATACCTATAAAAAAATACATTTTAGCATTTTATTATATCTTTATATAATTTATTTAAAAATACAAGAGATAGTTAAAATTATACACATCACAATAATTATAAAAATAATAATATTTTTTATTTAATAATTTTCATAATAAGATGATTTATAGTTTTAAAAAATTGGTAAAATCAATTTAGACTAAATAATAAAGTATTAATTTAGTTTGATTAGATTTAATATTAAATTAAAATTAAAGTAAATTAAATAAAATAGTATGTGATTTTTATGTTTGATTGGAATAGTTTTTTAATCGAAATCGAATTAAACTGAGTGGCAAAGACCCAAGGCAGCTTCAATCCTTTCAAATGAATGTGTCTCTTTAATCTCATAACTAGATATGTAGATCCAAGATAATAGGAGCTGGTTACATACATACCCAATGTTTTGCTTCGGACGCATCTATCAATCTAAAGATTTAATAATTAAAATATAAATAACTAATTTGAAGATAAATAAAAAAACAATTTTGAACTAAAACGATTTTATAGTCAAATTGGTTTTACAATCGATTATAATAACTAATTTGGTTTCAATTTTGTTCGATATCAAACCAGTTCTAAAAACTAAAACTCTAATATAAAAACGCAAATATACCTTACATTTCAACAGAACAACTTATAATCAACACGGGAACAATATATATATATATATATATATATATATATATATATATATATATATATATATATATATATATATATATATATATATATATAACAGAAAATGAAACTTATGTAATCTTTAGCCAAAATACTATGGTTGTAACAAGTGATCAATAATTCATTTAAAACATCCTTATGTAACTATGTAAGTGGTTCAAAATAGTTCCAACGGGACATGTTATTCTGCACACCCCCCCACAATCTAAACTCCAGGAAATAATATAATGGAGAAAATAAGAAGGTAACTTGACTAATGCGGGGGAATACATGCATTGCAATTGCAACCAAATCCAGCGTGGAGAGCTTCACATGTAAGAGTAAGATGGGTGAGGAGGGAGCACATGAGATGTTCTGGCTCAGTGTGGCCCCAAGTCACAGCGTGGGGACACACACTTGGATTTGGGGTAAGAGAATATCACAAAACCAAACCCTCCCGTGTCCCTGCATCTTCCCTTTGCCCTTTCCTCCTACCTTTGTCTCCTCCTCCCCCATTCATGCTTCTGCTGTAACTAAAAGTTTTGCGCACTTCACAGTCACCAACAACATCAACATACCTCACAAAAACACTTAGTATTCTTAAAAGAGTTTGGATATGTATATCATCTATATGTAAAATGGTGGATCATATGTCTTTTTGTCTCTTGGCCCAGTATTAAATATCCCCCTCCGGTTTTCTAGACTCTCTTCTTATGTCACCATCCAATAATAATGATTCAAAGTTATACAACGTTTACCATGTTGTCGTAGTGTTTCATTCACTGCCTATCTAATAATCTACGTGTGTAGTTTTTGTTTAACCTATATATTATTGAAGATCCTTTCTAGTATCTTATAGACAATTCTATCGTCTAAACAAAAATGAAGTTTGTATTGTAATGATACTTTTGGTTTTGGATATTGAAAACATGCATAAATATTGGTACCATCAAATATTATGGTTACGATTTTGCTTTGTCCTAGATATTTCATGGTCTTCCTTAGGGGAGAAAAGGAGAAAAACTTGTGGGTACGAGTGTTGGGTGAAGCTAACTTGGACAATTATCGCAAAGGAAACGAAATAATTGTAATTGACTTGCTCGGCGATTGATAAATTATAGCACGGACTCTACATTGAAATAATGAGTGCTTCGCATTCCAAAAGTATGATCAATCCAACCTGGTCAGGGTATATGGGATCCACTTCTTACCTTAAAAAGAAAACAAAATAATTGCCCCAAAACAGAAGGAAGAATACCAATTTTATTGATTAAGTTTTCATTTTTATGGGCATTGGAGTGATTAATTCTCCCTCAACTTCAACACCTGTATGCGTACATTGTATGTCAACGCCCACCACAACCACTTGTCTTAAAAATAGCTAAGAACATTGACAGAAGAGGTATGTGTGTATGACTCGAATCATCTCTGTCTATTTGTTGTCCCTTTAATTAAAAAAAATAACATCTTATAAAACCTAAATATTATTAATTCACAAGGGGAGAGTTTTCCCCTTTTCAATAATTTATAGTTTTTTAGTTAGAAAAGAATAGGAAAATGACTAGAAAAAAAGTTTTAAATGGGAGAAGTGTTTTGAATTCATGCCTAAATAATGTGATGAATTTCAGACTTGGACGTTTGAATATGCAAACTGGCCGACAGGAAAACTGATGGAAATTGACTATGAAATAAGACATTTTTCTGCCTTTCCCTTAAAATGAAAGACATATACTAATACCGTTTCCACGCTATCCTGTGTTGTATAAGGTTGAGAACCAAAAATTCAATTTCAAACAAAGATATTGGATAGAATAACCTTGACTTAAACCTATGATTTTTTTATTTTTTTTTATGTATGTAATAAGGAGTGTTCAAAACTGAACACATTAAGAAAAGAATACAAAATTGATTAAATAAAATTGAAAATGGATGGGAAGAGAAAAGGAGAAGAGATATTGAAAGTGGAAAGTTTATTTGTTTCTTTCCTATTGCTTGTTTGGTTAATTAACACTTGGAATCAGTTTCACATACTACAAATATAAAATTGTGATTCAGGTTAGTTTGATCTTATATTATTACAATCACGTTGATCAATTTAAACTTAATTCTATCAAAGTTTAAATTAAATAAATACCTACGCCAAGTTTCAAACCCTTGTAGATCTAAAAGATATCTGAATCAAGGATTCAACGAGTCTGCTGGCATAGCCTTGGTTACAACATAGTGATTTGATTCAGCTTTTTCCTGCACAAGTATTATGTTGATGAAGGTATTTACTAGATTGGGGCAACACCTATCGTATCCATTTTCATTTGGCTGTTTACTAGATTGGAGCATGACCTATCGTATTCCCCCTCCTATAATTTCGTGTCCTCTTCTACACGTGTCAGACCCCAAGATTCTCTTCCCACGCCTACTCTCTTAGCTACTAGCCCCCTATGCCTCTAACTTCATCTTCTATGCCTCTAAATATATATTTTTCAAGCTCTATTATTGGCAACTTTCAACAATATTCTCCCACTTCTTATTCACACCAATGCATTGCTTCTCATTTTGTTTCATATTCAAACAAAGTCTTCACAAATCTAATTAATATTTTCTATTTCATCTTATCTTTTCTTTCTGTTGTTTTTTTCATTTCTTGAAGAATTCACAAACTTCTCTTGCTCAACTGAAAACGATTAAGAATTCAGGATCAGTTTCTTTTCATGGAGTTGCTTTCTTGTCCTTGTTCTCTCCAGTAACAGTATCCTCTCGTAGTCTTACCAGTCAAATCCCACAGCCTTTAGATAAATACATTATATATTTTTTTTTCAAATGTTACTCTCTTTTTTAACAATATTGACGACTTCTTCACTCATATATATTTTGTGTATAATTTATTAATGCATGATATATTTATATTGTTATATATTGTCGATGTTTTCAGTAAATTTTTTATTTATATTTTTTTTAAATCTATAATCTAAAATAAAAATATATTATTTTATTAAACCTTATTTTTGTTGAAATGAAAAATCAGAAAACAAAAATGTAATTAGGAACGAAAAGATTAAAAAAATTAATATTTTTTTAAGAACATTTCTTTTTATCAACAATTTAAGAGACATTTAATATAGTTTGTTGAATGAATCATTATTGGATGTTTCGTCCCAAAAAAAATATTACATAACAAAACTATTGTTAGTATTAATAGTGTAGAGGATGTGACAACAAATAATCATAACAACTTTAAAAAAAGTGGATTGATTAAGTGCTCAATTTTCGTCTCTTAAAACCTAATATGTCTAAATGGAGGGAGAAAATGAATGTATAGTGAGAAGAATTAACAAAAAAAAATGGAACAGAAGTATTAGTTGAAAGGTAAAAAGCCGTAGAAATGTTGATGATCCAAATCATGTGCACGGTTTCCAAATAGTTGCATAAAATATTGTGGCAGCTTGTGTTACTCCATGGGATGGAAATCCACTTAAAGATTCGCAATTTTCAATCCGAATTAAAATATTTCAATCACACGTGATAAAAGCTAAAATAAGTGACTTTACACATTTATTTATTTATAAGTTTTTTTCTTTTAGACTATAGAGATCAGCACAATAAGCATATCAAATTGCTGTGTTTCCACAAGGAATCTTCATAGAATGTCGTATATTGTTGTGCGTGGATCTTTCCATGTTCTATTCGTCCTTTTATCCAAAATTTACGTAATTTTGAAAATCAAAATTCAAAGTAGTATATTGCTTGAAAATTTTGATGAATATCAATTCCAAATAGTTGAGGGCCAATTCATTTGGAACTTGTGTATGTGAGGAATCAACAAATCAATCAATCACGTTTCCATTTACAACCAAAAATGAAAATGAAAAATAAACCCTTTCGTGGTGTTGAAACATGATCTAAAGCTAGTTGTAACAAAGGAACTTACACTACAAAATTTGAAAAGTTTAAATTACTTTTTTTTCTTTCTCCTTTTCTTACACACATTCTATCTTGTCCCATGTTTAAAGAAAAAGTAGTTTTTATAATCTTTGTAAGTTTTTTAATTATTTATCATAGTTTTTATATTAGTTTTTAAGACGTTAACTTTATTAGTGAATTTCTATTTTTATTCATTATATTTTTCTTGTAGTATCAAGTTTCTTCATTCATTTTATTTATCTATCTTTTTATTTAATTATTCTAAATGTCAAAGATTTTTATTCACCCTCCCCTCCAAGTTAAAAAATAAATAATAACTCCATAAAAACACGGAAAACTAGCAAAGACACTACTACATAAAAAGAGACACAAATTCATTACTAAATTACATTCTAACACAAAGAAAAAAATGAAAAATCTTTATATTTATTTAGACACGTATGAATTATGTTTAATACTCTCTTATTGACACATATTAAGGTGACAAGAGTATAAACTAATTTCGAGATAAAATAGTATTTTAATAAAATAATAAATGCAATAATATCATATAAATTTCCATGATATTTAGTAGTAGTAGAAAGTACACAGTATGTATAGGGTTAGTCATTCCTAAACTTTATATTTTTTCTTCTTCTTCTTTTTAGCTTCCTGTTTTTATGGCATGAAACATATTTAATATAAGGAAGGATTTCAAGGATTATATTATATTTTAATGAGTATATACTGTTACTAAAGTAAAATTAACAAGTTCTTTAATAATTTTGCTTGTAGGAATAAATACATGTAATTTAATAATTACCTTATTTTCAAATTTTGAGTCTTTTGAATTAAAAATGATTTTGAAAGAATAAAAAACGTTTTTTTAAGTAAAATTGTTTAAAAAAAAGTACTAAAAATATATTGAAAGTAAAATAATATATTTATTTATAATAAAATTAGTTTACTTTAATAACTTTATTTTATTATTTATTATTATTATTATTTAAAATAGATATTTTTTTTAAATTGAGACATATTAGCTTGTGTGTGAAAAAAAAGATAAAATTTTTATTGAAATTCTAACTTTTAATATCTCAAAAACCTCGCTTTCTTCACACATGCAATATATATATATATATATATATATATTTTATTTTTTTTTTGAAATTCTAACTTTTAATATCTCAAAAACCTCACTTTCTTCACACATATGCACACCTTGAAAAAGGACTGATGAAACTTGTAACAACTTCAATACCATTGATGTGTGTATAACTCCTCATGTTTATTTCCTCTGCTCAATTACATCACTTGAATACATTTAATATTTGTATTATGTCCAAATAAATTATTCAAAAATTATATATCATGGAAGCAAAATATTCAAAATTTTCATGATAAAAATAGAAAAAAATATAAAGTAGAAAAAAAAGGAATCAAAATAATATAAGAACAGCTAAACAATTTTAACTTATTTAATAAATCTGTGTATCAGTCTCACGTTAAAATTGTATATTTTATTCTTAATAATTTTTTGAAGTAATTTTCTGAGATATGTTTTTAATGAAAGATGAAGGAAAAAATAAATGAAAAACAAGAGAAAGGCACAGTAAAGAAAGAAACGGACAGAAAAGGTAGAAGGATAAGAAAAAAATAATAATAATGTAAAAAGTAGGGGAGAACATGAAACATTCTTTCAAGAATTATCCTTTAGTTTTGGTATTTTTAAGAAACAAAAACTGCTATATACTTATTTTTTATTTTAATACTTTTAAAACCAAACAAAACGTGTTATATATTTTCAAGTTCAAATAAGAGGAATAAGTAATTTAAGAAAAGCAATTACAAAAATTATAGCGACTATTTTTATTTTTTTTATTTTAAAAACCTAATTCAAAATTTCTAAACAATTCAAGCACCTACTGAATTAATATGACCCAGAATCATTTATCAATTGTCTTCTGCTCCTTTTTCTGCATAATCTTCGAAACAAAATTACCTCACTCTTTTTCTACCCTTTGACACAAATGATAGTGCTGCACAGGTGCATGACAACAGTGCCAAAAAAATTACAAGTTAAAAACTATTTAATGTCAATTTCATATGATGTTATTCATTATAGAATGACAGCATAGTCAACATTGTCTCCTATTCTTGCAATAAACAAGAATCATAAAAAGTTCAACACCAAACAATGGTATTAAAGTCCATCACAGTTTCAACGCTCACAGACATCAGAAGCATTATGTACCAATCCTTGGGTGTGATGGGTTGATTCCATGATAAAATAAAACAAAGGGATTAGTTATGCAGTGGAAAGTCAAAACTTTTACCATTAGAAGCATGAAAAAGCAAGTTAATGAGATGTACGAAATAAAGAAAAGAAGAAGAAAGGAGGAAAAAGAGGAGGGACAGACCGTACTGAAGCACATTAAGGCTAAACCTCCCTATAACACAACCCAAAAACTAAAAAACAAAGTGAAGAGATAGATAGGCATGAAAAGCAAAAATACGAAACCTAAACCACTGTATGATTGATTAATCAGCTTGGAACCACATGTTACGTGGGACCAAACATATCAAAAAACGATCATTTGCATGAATTGTAAGGCAGTTAACGCTTCACAAACCAGATCCTACAGCACACCCTAATCACGCCCTCACAAGAGTTGGTGCTATCATATAATACACATATCATATCATAAATCTTATCACACATTATAATAATGCACTGACCCAAATAATAATAAACACAAGAAATTTCAGAAAATTCAGGCAAATTTTCCAAAGAGGAAAAAAAAAACAGAGAGTTTTGCATAATCTCAGACGAACATCCACTACAACATTCAGAAAATCACAGATAGTATGATATATACATGGTTACATATACAAATAGACAAGGAGCTAACAATAAAAATAATACACTTTCTGTCATCGTATTTATATTGCGAATGCAAATTCATCATTCCCAGCCCAACCATGCGGCATATAACGGACTACGATCACGATTCACGATTCACGTTAAAGATTATAATCAAGGACATATTGAAACAAAAATAAACTTTGATTCTTTTGTTAATATAACCTTATATAAAGTATTTGTTATCATTATTTTTATTACTTTTTACTCTACAAAATTTCAACCTCTATACAAAGGAGACCGTTCCTGAACCACTTTAGAAGCCTTCGATTGCCGGAAAGCTTTCATCGGACTCGGAAAAAACCACCCTCTGCCCTTCGTCCGCGGTCTCAAATCTCCATCGCCGGAAACCGCCGTAACCGCCACTGACTTCGACCGTGCCATAACCGGATTTACGCTCCCATCGCCGTCGCGTTCCTCCGCCAAAATCTTCTTCGCCTCCCACTCCTGCTCCGGCGCTCCGCCTCTCGTGCTCTTCTGCGACTTAAACATTGACCAGAACGACCTCGCCGACCTACTTCCGTTCAACGCCGGCGAGTCCCTCGCGCTGTCGAGATCCGAACCCCGGTCACCGCCGCCGGAGAACCGAGAACGCGACCGGAGAAACGGAATCGCCATGGAGCGCGAGCGCCGGAGCCCTGGCTCCATCTCGATGAGGTTGTGGACGCGCCCAACCGCAGCAGCGCCGCCGGCACCGCCGGAAAATCTAGAGAAGGAGGACGACGACGAGGAAGACGAGGAGGAGCTGGTGGCGAAGCAGGAACAAGGGCGCACGTTAGCACAGTCAGGGCAGAGAGTTACGAGACGGTCGCGAAGACAAATTGGGCAAATTCCGCTTCTTCTTCGCTTGGATGGATGCTTCGGACACTTCCAAACCTCTTCTTCGTCCAGGTACAACGCCATTTTCTTTCACTTGGAGCTTTTTTTCTCTCTCCGTTTTGCGCTTATTTTTCTTGTTCTATGTTGCTCAGCTGAATTTTCTTTCTATCTCTGTTTTCTCTCTCGCTTTCATTGAGATGGTGAGGGATTTAAAAGGAGTGGAGTTAACCATGGTTAGCATAACGAGGGGGCACTTTAACCAGGGTTAGGGACTGTTGGGGGAACCAAACGCCGCGTTTTGGGTAACGGTTCGGGTTTGTCGAATTGAGTTAGTGGGTTAGCGGCGTTTTTATGATTTGGTCCTTAATTGGGGATTTGATTAACGGGGAAGCCATTGGCATTGGCGAGTGACTTTTTCACATAAAAGAAAAAAAAAATGGTTTGTGGTTTCAAAAACTGAAAAGGTGAATGTGATCGTTGGGAGTGGACGTGTGTTGACACCTTCTAAGTCGTAAAAAGTAATGCAGCGTTGCAGACACAAAGAATGCGTTTTCACATCTGAGATGGGACTCCAAAGCAACCCAACAACTCAGGACTGGTCCCACTCCCAACAAGATTATTACTTAATAATGCACACTTACATTTCCACATTTTTCTTCTCTCTAAATCATAAACATCTTTAACTCACTTCATTATATTTTATTTTACCATAACAAATATTTGATCAAATTTTAAATTTATAATTTAACAAAATGGGAAGTGACCAAAAATTAGTTTACAGGCCTTTTTCATGAAAATAATCAAATCAAAATTGTTAGTTCCTTGACACGTGTATACGTTGTTTTCATGAAAGTTGTCATTTGTTAATTCATAAGTGACATGCTTTCGATTATTTTATGCAATTTTCTAAATTTGATTGTTGTGAATGCAACAAATTGGTGTCGTGGGAAACTTTGACTTATTACTAGTTTTCTTCCTCCTTGATTTGAATTAATCACTGTTCAAATAATTTTTTTGAACAAGAACAGTCCTGAATTTAAAACAACATTTGGTGCCATGATACATTAAAAAATACAGCAAAATTATTTAAGCCACGAGCTGTACAGTATAGAATATTGCAGAATAAGGGCATTTAAAAGCACACGGAGTCCTGAAAGGTCAAAAAGTTAATACGAAAATTCTTATTAGTGAAAGTATTCCTACGAAGTTCAATATAGTACGCTTCATTGCCAAAATGGTCAAAGGCATTGAATAAGCGAGTCTGATAATGGCTTGGTTTGAGCGTGTCAACGGGCACGTGTAAAGACAACGAGAGACGGAGCCAAGAAGGAGCAACATTTTTACTTTTGCGTGATTAGGAAATTTGTGTCACCAATAATTACGATGACATTGGTGAGGGAAGGCAAATTTTTCAAAGCCCTTTCTGCAATTGAAACGTAACACTAGAAATAAGTGGTGTCGAGAAGAATATTTATAGGTGGAAGATGTGTGAAAGGAATTAATACGGTGATGGGAATTAATTGTGAAGATGGAAGGTTTATGTTGTGGGTATTTTTGGACAAGGATTTTGTTTAATGTTTTGTTGGGTGGTCTTTTCAGAGGGATGGTTGCGGTAAAGGGTTTAATACTTTATACATTTGCCTGCTTTTAATAGATTTTGTTACATGGGGTTGTGACCATGTCCCACTCAAAGTACACGAAATCGCGTCCAGGTCCTCTACTGGTACTTGTGTAGGACGTGTTTGTTTAACGCATCTAATAAAACGGATTTAACAAGGGTTAAACTCTAACCAACCATACAATTCAAACACCATAACTATTCATTTAGTCCAATGGAGAGGTCACTCTCTACAGCAGTGATGGAAAAAAAACACTGACACGTCTCCACCCTTCACAAGCAATACGGAATGGTGTCGGCACGTGTCAAAAATAGTTGAAAATTAAACCCCAAATTACTAAAACATCATTTATCAATTTAAAATTATTAAAAATATATATACATCAGAATTATGATAATATGGAATAATTAAAATATCTAAATTTACTACCCTTTTAGTCAAAATATAAACCAACTTCAAAGCATTCACACGAAACCCAGCAAGGGCTTAGGTTCACTGGACTCTAAACAGTGGTACTTGGGCTTTAGCCCAAACGTTTATTGTTGAATAGATCAAAACTAGTTCACTAAATTTGAATTTGGAGTTTTTCAAAACGATTAAAATAATTTGTAAATCTTATAGTCAACCATTGAATTTCAAAGGTTTGACTATGGATGAAATGGTCCGAATAACGACATTTTTTCTCTTTTTCATCTTAGTGACATCCCGCATCATTGAATGAGTCAATAATTCTGAAACTCTGGAAGAATATTACACATAGCAGTTAAAATTAATACATGGTCAATATCTCATTCAATTTCTTCAAGCTGATGAGTATATTTTCCTTATTTTTTGTCACCAATTCAATAATTTTCATCCTTTCAGTTTTTACTTAGAGTAGATATTGCACGTGATGAACTAAGCCCACCAAGAAACAAGATATTTATTGTAAATAAATGTTTAGTAATTCGATTTGCTTGCAATTTTATTTTCATTATCCATTATTTAGTATCAATCTATTTAGAGTTTAGTAGAGATGTATTTGATGGAATTGATTTTGAAGTATTGAATATACCTAGGATGTATGGTGTCTGAACCTAATCTGAACTACCTACCTACATAGACAAACATTTTGTTTCTTTAAACAGTGCAAAGGTTAATTTTATAACCAATTTTAAAAATCAGATTTTACTCGCATATGTACAATTAAAAATTGATATGTTATTTTTAAATAATTATATTTTAATTAAATTGCGACAAGTTTATAAAATTAAAAATATTAACTGTAATTTTTTTAAGTCAAATAAGTTTTTATAAAAGAATATTATTTAGATGACTTTTTTTAATATAATTTTTTTTTATAAAAAATATCATAATTTTATTTTTATTTTATCTTATTTTTATTATTATTTATATTTTTTAATATATTTTATATTTCTTTTTTTTACAAAATATTATTATTAATAAATTTATTATAAATATATTATTTTATTAAATCTGGTTAAATAGGATTAAAAACGCTTTAAATCTTTAATCGGTCACCTGAAGAAAAAAATATATATATATATATATATATATATATATATATATATATATATATATATATATATATATATATATATATATAAATATAAAAACATGAATACCATGTGTTTATATTAGTTACTTTATTTTTAAGCCACAATTTTTTTTTTCTGACATTTTTCTTCAATCATGTTGGAACTTGGGCAGACATCACTTGTCCCTTCAGACCCCAAATTTATACTACATATTATCATGTACTAATGTGCATTTAAAAGATAACTAAAGTTAGTAAAAGAATAAATTTAAAATGGTTATTTTTGTTCTTTTAATTTATTAGTTTTAACTAGAAAATTGTTTTAAAATTTTCATTACATAAAAATGAAGATTAAAGATGAAAAACAACTCTAAATAAGATATTTCCTTTTTATATCATGATTTCCCCTTCTTCTTCTTTTTTCTCAAGCTTTTACATTGGAAATGAATACACACAATCTATAATAGTAAATTTGTCATGTTCACCTCAAGAAATATTTAAGTTCAATTTTTTAACAAATCGAAAAGAAAGCATTATTAGTTAAAATTAAATAACAAGTTTTTTTTTTCATAGATCATAGTTTTCTTTTTTATGGTAGTAAATTCTACTAAAATTGAATAAAATCTCTGACATTTATTTTTTCTTTCTTCTTTGTTTGTGTATTTTCCAAAACTAATTAACTTATTTATGGTAAAAGGTTGAACACTAAATCATGTTAAATCAACTAAATTTACCTACCTCTAAGTCATTGATATCACTCATCTTTGAATATGAACACATGAAATAGGTCAAACCACATTGTGTTTATTCTATTTCTTTACTTATTCAATTTTACAACAAACTTGCATAAAAATGCTCACGTATGAAAATGAACATTCTATTATTCAGTCTAGCACAACATAATTTAATACACAAGTTTATATCTACATCTAGAACTAGTAAGCATTTATAGAAACTTTTATATATATACATATGTGTCTGTGTTTTTACAAAGACTAAAACAAGATAAAATAATATTTGTATGGATTTAAAGTATATTTAAATCAATTATTTTATTTTTATTTATGTTGATTAAGGATAACAAAGTAGTAATAATTTTTTTATACTACATATAATTTAAAATATCATATTTATTAGTTTTTTAAAATATTAAACATATTTTTCCATTAAAATCAAATTTATTTTTATGATATATTAAACAAATAATTATATATATAATTTTAAGCTTTAAGTAAAATAAAATTATTTTAAATAAAAACAAAATATTAAATTAAATTATGAAATGAAAATTAAAAATAACATATTTTACTATTTTATTTATATTCATTAATAATCATATTGTTTAATTAAATTATGTGTCTAAGAAAATAATGATCTTAAATTGACATATTTTGTCTTATCTTAACTAAACTAATTAATAATTTCCATTTTTAATATTTTCATAGCCATATTTTCAGGAATTAAAAATATATTTAAAACATAATCTTGAAAATTATTAAACGGAAAGTTTTTTTATTAATAAATTTCAGTCAACCATAAAGTGCTATGATTCCTTTTCTTTTATAATTAACCAAATTAAGTTAATTTAATATTTTACGTTTAGTAATTTTTTCCTCATTTATGTCTAATGGTGTTTATTGTTAGCCTTATGCTTTCAATATTCCCATTTGAGTGTACATGTGAGATGTGATCTTTTGACGATGAGAAATATCTTTCAACTTTATTACTGGACTTGCTGTTGCTAATTGGGCTTGGAGCGTGTAGTTACATCTACTAGTCACCGAAACATGGTTCAAGCAATGACATTATTTGGGCCGCCATATTGGGCAACCAATGGTCTATGCAACTGTTGTTGAATCAGAGTGTGTGCAGGCCCAGTGCGTTTTTAAAACACAGGTTTAATTAACCCAATACCAATTTTTCCATTT